GTCCAACCTAACCCCGCCATCGGGAAGCCGGTGGGTGTGTCCCGCCCCAGGCCCCGGCGGCTGGCCAATGGCGCGCCGCGCCGGGGTGACTGCCGCCCAATCGCCGCGCGGCCTGAGGGCGGCGGTGCGGCGGGAGGGAGAAAGAGGGAGGAAATGGAAGTTAGGTTGCGCCGCGCTGCGTGTTCAGCACGGGTGGGGGTGGGGGAGCCGGGCCTAGGGACCATGTGGAAGCTCCGAGCCCAGCTGCCAGCCCTGCCCTGACCCGGGCCGGCTTCGCCCGCCTGCCCTGTCTGTGGCCCTGAGGGTTCTGCCCACCTCCTTCTAGAGTTCTGCCCCGTGACTCGCTTCCTTGGTCGGTGCTCGTGGTTGGGGCTGGCGCCCGAATGGCTCTTAGACCATCCCGGGCAGTCTCGCTCCCGTTTCGGTCCACTGATTGCTCTGCTGGGGTTTTGTTTCTTAAGCTCGATGAGCAGAGACTCGATGACTCGGGATTTGCCCCCAGATAACAAGCTGGTACTCATGCTTGAGATGCCGGGGACCATGCCCTAGTGAAGCCACACCGGACAGTTCCTCGTTTCCCACGTTCACTGAAACAAATAAAAATGAACCCACTGCCGTCCCAGGACTGGCTTGTTGTATAGAAATGAGTGGATTGCGGTTAACAGCCCGTGTGCCCAGTCTAGTTCTCTGCTGTTGTGAGGATGGTGGCAGGTAACATGGCATCTTTTTAAGATACAGGTAATATGTAGGGAACACGGTGACAAAAGGTATTCCTTTTGAGTTTTCAAGGCAAAACAGTGTAAGCAAGGAGAGGAGACTTAGTGTGTGCAAGCTGCCCTTGCGTTCGATTTGCTACCCAGGTTTTCACTTCTGTTTGCCCTTTTCCTTTCCCAAGCTTCCCTCTGGGTTAGACAGATTATGCCCCCTTGGTTATTTGTGAGAGACCTTTATCTTGAAGCTCATTTGGGTGATACTTTTAAGAAGAGCTGCTGCTGCAATTAGAATTGTAGGTGTCATGCAGTACTTGTAAGTGGCAGGAAGCGAGTTGCTTTTGGCTCCTGTTACCTTTCCCATTTGGACAGCGCTGCTTTGGTGCCTGCTGCTTTGGTGCCCGGTGCATTATAAAAGATGGGAGTGTGTTTTCCTGGGGCTCTGCTGTATTCGCTGTATAACCATGTACACCTGTGTCCACAGTGTGTATGAACTGTTTACCTAGTGTGTTAACCAATGACTTAAATACAAAATCCATTTCCTTGGTACATCTTGCCTTGGCCTTATCTTTTCAAGCTAACCTTTTAAATTAAATATCGGTTCTTCTAAATCTGCTTTTTCACTGTTCTTTTGGTGAAGCTTGGTACAGATGTAGCCTTGCCATACCTGCATCTAAAATACATGGATAGGGTCCTAAGAAGCCTGTGTTATAGGTATTTTCCTCGTTCAAGATTGCTTCCACAGAGTGCTTAACAACCCCCCCCACCTAGTGTGTGATTACTTTTTTTCCCAACTGAGGTGGTTTTTTTTATTAAAAGATCATTTTATTGGAGACTTACAATCTTGCTACAAGCCTGATACAATACATCTATTGTATCAGGCATATTTGTACATATGTTGCCTTTACTCTTTTCTAGACATTTTCTATTGAGCCCTTGGTATCAGCTCCTTTTTTTCCCTCTACCCCACTCTCATAACCCATTGACAGATTATAAATTATTATTATTTTCATATCACACTGACCTGTCTCCCTTCCCCCATGTTTTCTGTTCTTTGCCCTGATGAGGGGTGTATGGTTATGTGTCAATATTGCTTCCCCCTTCCTCTCTCCCCCTCCCCCCTACTCCTACCTGTTCCTGGATTCCGTGTGTCATGATTTATACTTGTGTACATGATTCTAGTCTGGATTGAAAAGCAGCATGGGAGTGGGGGGGGTGGAGGTTGGGTTTTTTGTTTGTTTCTAATCATTTTATTGGGGGCTCATACAACTCTTACCACAATCCATACATACATCAATTGTGTAAAGCATCTTTGCATATTCATTACCCTCATCATTCTCAAAACATTTGCTCTCCCCTTAAGCCCCTGGCATCAGCTCATCATTTTTTCCCCTTCCCTCCCTACTTCCCCCTCCCTCATGAACCATTGATAATTTATAAATTATGTTTGTTTGTTTTAAAGATCTATTTCATATTCAATCCTGTCATGTATTCATTTAATCAGCAAATACTTCATTGAATCCCAAGTATTGTTGTCGGTGTTTGGGACATTTCAGTACACATAGAAGGATCCATGGAGTAGCAGATTGCCAGATGTGCTTTAATTCTGGAGACTTCATGGACAGATTTGGCCAAGAGGTTTTGATAGGAAAACCTGTGACTTAATGTAAATGTTGTTTGAAGCTTCATGATAAATGATGGATGGCCTTAAGTAGGTAGATATTTGGGGAGTTTTCTGTGACCGTGATTTGTCCTAAAACAAAAATGTTTTCCTTAGTGGTTTGCTGCTTATTGGTGAAATTCTCAATAGAGGTGTTTTTAATCAGTTGTATATACATATTCTTTTAACAGCCCACTTTCCTTGTGGAACTGTCCAGAGTGCTGGCAAATCCAGGAAACAGTCAGGTTGCCAGAGTTGCAGCTGGTCTACAAATCAAGAACTCTTTGACATCTAAGGACCCAGACATCAAGGCACAATATCAACAGAGATGGCTTGCTATTGATGCTAATGCTCGACGGGAAGTCAAGAACTATGTAAGTAACTTGCCTCTCTTTTTAGTCATCTTGCCTAGGAAACAAGAAACATCTGTCAATTCTTCTGTCATTTGCTTGGGATAGAGCTGAGATGTAGATATCACTCGAAGATACAAAGTAGAGTTGATTGAAATCTGTCCCAATTCAGTGTCTGTTCCCATTGATGGCTTTTATAGATGAGATAATGAGGTGGACTGCAATACTTTGGAAAACTTAGATTTAGATGCCAGAATTGATGATTAAAAGGGGTTTGTAGAGATTGGTGAATTGGAGGGTACGAATTGGTTCTTCTTAAGGTCTGTAGATCAGAGTCACTGAGAGAATATGCTAACAATCTGCATGCTTCCACTTCCTCCAGAGCTTCTGATTTGGTAGGTCTAGAGCAGCGGTTCTCAACCTGTGGGTCCCGACCCCTTTGGGGGGTCAAACAACCCTTTTACAGGGGTCACCCACCCAATCCAGAACAGCAGCAAAATTACAGTTATGAAGTAGCAACGGAAATAATTTTATGACTGGGGTCGGGTCACCGCAACATGAGGAACTGTCTTGAAGGGTCACAGCATCAGGAAGGTTGAGAACCACCGGTCTGTAGTGAGACCCAGGAATGTTTTTGAAACTGTTTTCCCAAAAGACTTATCCAGAGCTCGAGTAAAACAAAGCTCTTGGTGACCTTGAGTTAGTAGGTCATTTTCTTCTCTGGGATGGTGAATGCATACATAGGACTATGGAGCCAGAGGGAAGTAGTATCTTGGACCTTTGAAAGGCCAAAGAGCTGGCCAATTTGGCATTTTATCTTGCTCTTATTTACTGAGCCAGTTGTGAAGAATTTTTTTTTTTTAAGAAATGCCTTTTTCAAGTCATTTGAAGAGTGAGTATAGATGTGTTTCTTCAATATTTGCATAAAATTAAATGCCCTTTGTTGCTTTGCATCTTAGAGTTCTCCTGACTTTATTTGAATTAGAAATGCGTGCTTCTAAATAAAGCAAAGGGTTCAGAGCATTAAGTCAGGTTCCTTAGTGGTCTGTATTACCAGGATAAGCCACAAAGGGCCAGTAAGTTTAGCATCTCTAACCTCTAGTTGGTCTCTGGTATTTGAGAGGAAGCTGATCGGGGATTACCAGGTGTGGATATGTGCAGGTCAGACTTCTGCTCCCGCTGTGCCAGTTCCTGATTCTGAGTCAGCATTTTAGGTCAATTTGTGACCCTTTAAGGCAGTGACAGCTCTTTCTTTCTAGATGTGTGTCTTCGTTCCTGATTAGTCTTGCTTGGAGAGGTGCCCATAACAGGGGACTAGATTATGAAAGCCAGTTTATTTCTTGTCTTGGAATATGTAGAGCTATTCCTAGCTACATGTAATTAAATTTTCATACCATAACGTTCCAACATCTTATTGGTTGTAATGCCTGTTGGAGTTCTCGTTTCCCCAAAATTACATCATGGGAAATGAGTTGAAGACAAAAGGGAACGTTCTTGGTGCGATATCCCTGTGTGTGCATGTGTTGCATAACGCATTGATTTGACATCACAATTTGTGAAAACCGGGATCAGCATTTGTATAGGCACAGTTGAATCTTTATGCATGAAAAATCTTTACTCCTGTCATCTTGAGTCCCCCCCCCCCATTTTATTGCACATCTGATATTATCTTAAGGCTGGCAGTCATTTCTTTTGAAATCTGGACTTCTATTGATCAGCTTCTTACTCAGTTTATATCTGATAGCTATTAGAGGGCCACCTCTGGTTTTAAAACACAAAATTTTTTTACTTCTCAGGTTTGGATAGTTGGAACCTCTGTATCAATTAAAGTGATACTAAGGGTCTTCCGGAGTCCACTTCAAGGAGAATAGATACAGGTGGGATGAGGTTTAAGTGTGAAGGCAGCCTGAACTTGAACTTGTTAGGTTAGACCTGTGTTAATACTCGGTCACCACCACTTTGGGGAATTCATCTCATGTTACTGTTTACAGTTTTTGTTCAAGTCCATTCTAAGTTTGAGAGTCCTGAAGAGCAAACCTTGGATTTAGAATCAAAGCTGCCTGATACTGGGCAGAGCTGGTGGGGGTGGGCAGGGATAATGCTGTGTCCTGTAGAAGAGGGAAAGATGTTGAGTTCATCATTACATTCTTTGCTACTAGTTACACAGTGGCCTGTCCCAGTCAGCAGAGCACTGGCCTGACTGTTTGGCAGCTACTCTTTGTCCTGTGTCTCTGCCACTGTTAATTTGCCTTTTGAGTGCACTGATGATTTTCAGTGAGTTCATTGACTGAATTAGCTGATCATGGTCATGATTAACACTAGGTTAATTGCAGCTTCATCCTTTAGTCATACCTGTGCCTTTACCCTTTATGTAAATGCTTGTATGGTTTCCATTTCAGTCGGACCAACAGATGCCATTTTAATTGGTGTATCTGGCTGATAATGGTCTCCGCTGATGGGGGAGAAGACAGTCTGATGCTTGAGCACACAGATTGGAAATGAACTGAAGCTCAATCCTTGGATGTTTGTGAATTCAGTAACTTTTTTGCTGCGTTCTGTAATGTTACTGGACCAAGGTGTTTTTAGAAGTCAGACCCAGTGGCATGCTCTGTAGTTGGCCTCATCCTACAGAGTCTCACCGTTCTGACCACACAACACTGCTCAGGACTGTGTGTAACTTGCCCATATGCCACCCCCAAGACTCTTAAAAGTTGAATCTGTATCTGACAGCCCATGGGCCTTTCCTACTACGTCCCCTTGCTGCTGCCTTCCCACCCTACATTGAAGGCATCGGAGTGAGGTGTGAGGCTTTGGAGAGTTTTATTCAGAAGCAAGAAGGGTTGGTTTTGTTTAGTTCTTGGGCAGTGTGGATGTTGGTGGGGCTGGGGCGTTTCTGCAGTTATTAACTGCATAGGCCTTTCCACTTTTTAAAAAAATCTTGTTCCTTAAGAATTCAAGTGAGGTTGACCTAAGGGATCTAAGTGGGCAAAATATGTTCAGATAATGTTAGAACTTGATAGCTTTTGCCCTTTTCTCACCCCAGGTTTTGCAGACTTTGGGCACCGAGACCTACCGACCTAGCTCTGCCTCTCAGTGTGTGGCTGGTATTGCCTGTGCGGAGATCCCAGTGAACCAGTGGCCAGAACTCATTCCTCAGTTGGTGGCCAATGTCACAAACCCCAACAGCACAGAGCACATGAAAGAGTCCACATTGGAAGCTATTGGTTACATTTGCCAGGACATAGTAAGTAATCCCTGCTTTTCCTGCTCTAGCGAGGTACCTCATACCCCTCGCGTGACCTGCATGGTGTTAGGGTTGCCTTTTTATCATGGAGTGAGGAAAGCCAAGCTCATGCAGTGTTTTGAAAATAGAAATGCCTTATTTATTACTTTAAATCTGTGTATTGGTTAGTGTTACGGCTTGACTTGTATTCTCTCAAAATACTGTGCCGTGAGCATTCACTTCTGTGGGTATGATTCTTTTTGTGGGTGGGCAGGCTTTTGTGATGCTAACCTGGCAGGGTTGGCGAAGGGTGTGTCTTGAGTCATCATCCTTTTGGAGATATAACAGATGAAACAAGCAAAACTAGCCTGGGGGGTGTGGAGAGGTAAATGCTAAACCACATAAAGCAACAGCTACAAAGAAACAAGGACCTTCCTCTGGAGCTAGCACCCAGAATTTCTTCTGGCCTTCCAAACTGCGAAAAATAATTTCTGTGTGAGATAGTCGCTCCCTTGTGCTTTTCTGTTGTAGCAGTCATAGATAATGTTATGATAAAAGGGGGAGGTAGTTACTACGTTGCTATTTATGTCCTAAAATAAAAACTCATAATGAAATCCATGTGTTTGGAGCGCTTTAGATACTGCACTTTTAAATGATATTTTCTAACTTGGAGCATCTCTGATGTGACCCTTCAGATGGCTCCTCAGTGTGCTCTGGACACTGCTGCTTTCCCCTTTACTGCTTTAGAGAATGAGCTCTGTGGCCTAGTGGTTGTGCTGGGTTGCTAACCACAAGGTCAGCCCTTAAAAGCCATTAGCTAAAGAGTTACTGCTTCAACTACCCATGGGGGCATTTTGACCCTCTCTTGTGTGGGAGTCGTTATAAGTCCCGTTCAGCTTGATTTTGGCTTGAATTTGTAGAAAAAGTTTGCCAGCCCCTGGAGCAAAATGTGTGTGTGTGTGTGTGTGTGTGTGTGTATAGAGCAACTTCCTGAGGGCTATTGTTGGTGATGCCCTCCCCACTCATGGTGTCTGTTGTGCTCTGCACCCTTGATGGAGCAGAGTCCACGAGATTGAACCTGGACTTCAGCTCTCTAGATGTTGGATGTAGGCAGGTGTTTGTTCTTGGCCCTGTGATGGTCAGAAATATGTACTTCATTGATACAGGTGGCCTGGGAAAACCAGCAGACTGCCATCTTTATTTGTACAGCGGGGGAAAGCCAGTACAGGCACCTTGGAGGCTTTGTGGCTTGGGTTCCAGACCCATACAAGAAGTGCCTATCAAAATAAAGGAGGATGTGGGGGAGGGGGTTTTGCTTTCCCAGTGCATGTAAAAGTCCCATTAACACCAAACTGTGGTCTACTGAGTATGTGGTGGCTTTATGAGAAAGCTTAAAATGCTGTACGAATGACCAGAATGCCACACAAACACGATGTGAACACATACTGTTGGGAAAATAGCACTGGCTAGCTTGCTCCTCCTGCAAGGTTGCTGAAAACCATCAATTTGTTGCTGTTGTTGTTGTTGTTTTTAATGCTTATGTGCTGAGAGTCAGAGGTGAAGCTGATACGTGTAACTTGTTTGTGTTTAAATACCAGCCCCATGGGATGTGTGGCAGGCGATTTCCAGTGCTGTCTCAAAATGGAAATATGAGAGGGAAGATCAGAGAAAGTCCGTGCTCCCTCAAGTCCTTCCTATTGTGAAAGGGACTGCTGATGCGTTGTAAGCTTATTGCTCGAATCACCACCTCACCGTGCTTGTTTCAGGACCCAGAGCAGCTACAGGATAAATCCAATGAGATCCTGACCGCCATAATCCAGGGAATGAGGAAGGAAGAGCCTAGTAATAATGTGAAGCTAGCAGCTACCAATGCGCTCCTGAACTCCTTAGAGTTCACCAAGGCGAACTTCGACAAAGAGGTGAGGCTCTTCGTCCCAGAGGTGCAGAGGGTGAGAAATGGAGCGAATTGAATGAGTTTGGGACAGTAGTTGTGTGAAATATTTGTGGCTTAGAAAGTCCTTTCTCAGGCTCTTGGGAAGTGGAGGGATTACAAATGTTCTGAACTCCATTTGTTCTGTTTTGCATTTCAAAGTGTGTACTTGAGGTGATTTTAAAAACACTGACCCCAGGCTGTTCAAGAGCTCCTTAGGGGAAGGTGCTTTTGAAATTACTGGGTGTTTTGTCTGCTAGGAGCTCATTGCTCTGGGCCACCCTTTACTCTCCACATTTGACAGATTCCATCTTTCAGAAAACAAAATGTCTTCTTTGTGATATAAAACATGCTTTGCATTCTCTCAGGTGCAAGGAAATTGCATTTCCGACGTACGGGTTCATTTTGGGAGAAAGATGAGGCTTTCTAACTCCCATAAACTGTTAGAGTTCCGTGTTTGCGTCGGCAGCACATATGCTAACACAGTTAGGGCAGAGCTGCCCCTGTGGGTTTCTGACACTATCTGTGGGGTCACTGTGACTTTAATCAACTAAATAGCAGTGACTTTGGGCTTTTCCTTCTTTTTTTGTTTAGGTTCATTTTCTTTTTTTGTGACCGACAACGTTACTTCATTTAAACTCTATAACCTACATTTTCCTGTCCCTTTTCCTGAAGTCTTAATGAAGATTATTTTGGAGATTAAAAGATTAAGCACCTCTTTAGAGGGTAGATCATACAGCAGATACTGGGTACAACCCCACCCTAATAAAGCCTTCATGCTGCCATAATGTCTTATGAGAAGCGGCTTGGTGGGTCTTCGAGTGTTGTGTGGAACCTGAGTGTGGGAGGGGGGGCTCTCCTGGTAGAGAGTCCTAGCAGTGCTCTTCTGTATGGTTTGTGCTCCTAATACCTTTTTCATCTTTATTCTCTCTGTAGTCCGAAAGGCACTTTATTATGCAGGTGGTCTGTGAAGCCACGCAGTGTCCCGACACGAGGGTAAGTCAGAGCCTCCAGATTGGAGGGGAAGTGTGGGAGTCACTTGAAAAATCTGTCTTTCCTCTGAAAGGCCAGCTCCAACTAGTAGTTGTTGGGGATCTTAGGAATCACTTGTTGGTGCAAGGTTTTTTCTTTCTTTATTTAAAATTGTATTGAGGGCTCTTGCAGCTCTTACATCATTCCAGACATCAGTTGTATCAAGCATGTTTGTACATACGTTGCCATCATCATTTTCTAAACATTTACTTTCTGTGAGTGCTTCTATTTATTAAGAGTCTCACAGTTTGGAAGAACCATACTTGGAAAGTTATCATAATGGAAATTTTCATCCTTGAGAAGGTGTAGAGATGGTTTTGGAGCAACTTTGCTATTTAATTGCCATAAATTATGCAAGCAATCGTTTTGTTAATAGTAGCAATTGCAGTAGCTTTGGTGTTGCTGTAATCTAAACCTGACCCCTATTTCTAGGAAAATAGCATTACCTATATATGTACCTGGGTCCCCTCTTTGGAGTAGGGGTGGGGAACCCTTTTCTGCCATGGGGCATTTGGGTATTTGCAACCTCATTCCTGAGGCCTTACTGGTCAAAGATGGAATGTGATGGCTGGACCGCTTCTCTCTGAGATGTGTGATGGTCACTGTTGGTGACACTTGTGCAGGCCACATCCCTGCTTTAGAGCAGAGCCCGTTCTTCTGCTGGTCTGTGAGCTTGCCTTGCTATTTCAGTAAACTAACCTACTCTCTGTGGAAGGTGCGCGTGGCCGCGTTGCAGAACCTGGTGAAGATAATGTCCTTGTACTACCAGTACATGGAGACGTACATGGGCCCTGCTCTTTTTGCTGTGAGTATTCTGTACCTTTGTGTGCATTGAGCATAGCCGATTACAAAGCCCGTCACTCTTCGGCACTATTTTGCCAATTTTGTCACTTTTGACTGGACATTATGAAATCACATTCCTTGAGTCTTGTGTTAGGTCCAAGTTCATCAGTGTCTTGCTGGGACAGCTCGTGCTGCTAAAAAGAGAACTGTGTAGAAATAATGGCTTCCTGCCCTACCTTTGGCTTCACACCTAGCCTTTATAAAGCCATAGTTGTGAAACTGGGCTATCTATGGTTAAAGAAGGAGTCCTTATTTATTTGTTTATTTGGGGGCATTTTAACTTGAAGGAGCACTGATTTGGGGCATGAGGTCTCATAATTTTTCTCCAAAGATCACAATTGAAGCAATGAAAAGTGATATTGATGAGGTGGCACTACAAGGGATCGAGTTCTGGTCCAACGTCTGTGATGAGGAAATGGATCTGGCCATTGAGGCTTCAGAGGTGAGCTTGGGAAAGGGGACTTCAGGTGGGGAGAGCTTTACTGCTCGCTGGGCTTTGGGGTGCGTTGCTTTTGTGAGTGTTATCATTCTGACTTGCCTTTGAGAATGTCTCTGTTTGTGGAAATTCCTGCCAGCCATAGATCCTCGTGAGAAAGACGGGTTAATAAGGCATCCCATGTTACCGTTGGTCAGCTGGGAAGTGCTGTCGTGTCAGCGCCAACTCAGTGACCCTGTCCTGCGCCACCCTCACAATTACTATATTTGAGCACATCAGGGGCAGCCACTGTGTTGTTCAGTTCGTTGAGGGTCTTCCTCGTTTCCACTGACCCTCTAGTTTACCAAGCATGACCGCTGTCTCAGGGCCTAGGCCTTCCTAGTCACATGTCCACAGTTGAGGGAGACAAAGTCTCCCCAGTCTTGCTCCCAAGGCACATTCTGGCTGTCCTTCTGTCAGACCATGGGACGCTCAATATTTTTCACCAGCACTACAACTCAAATGCATCATTTCATTATTCCTTATTCCAGCTATTGCATGCACATAAGCTGATAGGAGAATCTGTGGCTTGCCTTGGCTTGTTTCAAACCAAACCCAAATCACGGTCGCTGCATCACTTCTGACTTGCTCTGACCCTGCTGGGTGTTAGAACTGCTTCGGCTTCCCAGGCTATAAAGACTTCTGAAACAGAAAGCCTCATCTTTCGCCTTTGGGCACAAGTCTTAGCCATTATTCTGGCTTTATAGTATTGTGAACACAAGGGGGCAGCAGGCTATCACAGGAGGTGGCACCTGCTGTACATAGAATCATGTCCTGTCCAATGATTAGGGTGTATCACGGATACTTTCCTAATGCCGGGGAAAGAATCTGACCGGCTGAGAGTGAGTTTTGTGGGCCAAAGATAGTTTAGGTGAAAGCTTGCTAATATGTACTGAGTTTATGAGAAAAGAATGTCATTCTTAAAAGTTGCCTTGGTCCGTTGAGGTAGATTAGAGATGTGTCCTAAAAAGTCTAGTGGAAGTTCAAAAAATGAGCCAGCGCGCCCGGCCTCCCCCCCTCCCCCCCCCCAAAAAAAAAGATCAATGACTACTGTACTTTGTCTCATCATTTTTCTACTGTGGAGCCCTTGCCAGCCCTTCCTGTATGCTTTTATCATAGTGCATTTTTCCTTTAGGCAGCAGAACAAGGGCGGCCCCCTGAGCACACCAGCAAGTTTTATGCGAAGGGAGCACTGCAGTACCTGGTTCCCATCCTCACACAGACACTAACTAAACAGGTGAGTTATCTTCCAAACCTAACTAGGTAAGCAATAAAATCCTGTACATGTTGAAATCATTTCTGTGAAAAACTTGGCACCGCTTCAACTATGTGGTAGCTGAGAACCATCAGCCTCGGCTACTGGGTTGTTTGTGAAGGAGAATTGGGGCTGAACGTTTCTGATGGAGCTTGGTCAGGAGTGAGCCACACATGGCTCTGATTTCCTGAGTGCTATGTTGGTTTCAACAAGAGGCACCTGTTTGAACGTTAACAGTAAAGGAAGCTTAGGAATAGAGGTACTACTACTGGGTTTGGGCCACTCAAACAGTGGTTCTGACATCGAGGGTTTGAGAGGGTTACCAGGGTATTAGGACACGTAAAATGCTCGTGATTGGATTTGAATGAACTTTTTTGTGTTTTTTAGTGTTGGAAAGGTTCTTTCTGTTACCTCATCTTTTTTTTGGTATATGAGAAGTATGAGGAGGCTTCAAAGTTCACTGAAAAAAAGGAATTAAAAGATAATGGAGTTGTTCCACAAACATTTGAAACCCGCTTGTAGTCCAACAGAGCTGGCAGTACTGTGAGGACACAGCGTTGGTGACTGAAAATGTCTTTGTTCACAGGAGTAAAGCCATGTATTTGCTTTTCATTGGACTGGGCGTCCTCTTCCACTTTCATGCCATCTCCCATTTTTGCAGTGCTATTCTTTATTTTTTGACCTTAGCCTCTTCATTTTTGTATGCTTTTCTCTTAGAATACATTCTTTGAGCGTGTACTTTTTTGAAACTGCCTGGGCATCCTACCTTAAGTGCTTATGTGGTGTGAATGACCACAGCACACATTCTGAATTCTGATTTGGAGAGAATATATTTTTAATGGAAATAGAACAACTCACCCTCCAGAAGCCCCTCTTAGACCATCTTCCCAGTTACTGTCTCCATCAAGGGGCGCCACGGCCCTGCTGGTTAACTCCCTAGGTGAGCTTCGTTAACTAGTTCTGATGTCACCAGAATCCTCCAGCACAGACTCTTTCACACAGTTGAGTCCGCCATGCTGTAGCATGTTGTGGTTGGCTCGTTCCTTCTGGGGTTCATTCTAGTGAGGTCGTCTTCTATCTCTGTCTTGTATAACAGAGGCTCTCTTCGAGGATGAGTTGTTGTGGAAGGGACAAAATTTAAAGCGTTTCATATTGTATTTAAAGGCATTTTTTAGATTAGTTGAATCTGAGGTAAAGTGATTCTCGGATCAAAACCTTAACTAGAACCACGTTTTTTGTTTTTTAATCAGGATGAAAATGATGACGACGATGACTGGAATCCCTGCAAAGCAGCAGGCGTGTGCCTCATGCTTCTGGCCACTTGCTGTGAAGATGACATCGTCCCACATGTCCTTCCCTTTATTAAAGAGCACATCAAGAATCCCGATTGGCGGTACCGGGATGCAGCAGTGATGGCTTTTGGCAGTATTTTGGAAGGACCAGAGCCCAATCAGCTCAAACCACTAGTGATACAGGTGAAGTCTCAGATTGGAACGTGGCCTGCCTATTGCTGCTTTAAACTTCCTTGAGCCCCAACCCACTGCTTTGAGTCCATTTGGACTCATCCTATACTATAGGTCAAAAGGATGATTACCTAAGTCATAGGACCTAGAAAATTACAGACAGAAAAAAGATCACCGTAAATATCACTGCCCAGGGATAACCTCAAGACTCGATACTGCTCTTCTTCTCTGTGTGGGTTTATGTGCCACAGGACAGAGTTCTCACTGTGCAACCATCTTGACCGCTCTGTTGCCTTCACTTGGTGGTGTAGCGTGAGCATTTCCTCCTCATTTTTAATGATGGGTTTTCCCCATTCCTTTGCATCTGATGACACTACATAATGAAAACCTCCCATGGGATGGGAGGGTCGCGTTCGCTTAGCTGTTACATGGGACACAAGTCCTGTTAGAATTGAGTGTGGTTCACGTGGACCTGCACCTTTCAGGATGTAGCCAGATGCATCCCAGCTACGTCCTCTGATTTCTTCCTCTGACTAATTGGGTGAAGCCTGCTGAAAGCGTTTGCCCCAGTCTCTTACACGGTGCCCCGTATTATGATTGAAGACAGAAGAGGACTTTTTTTTCACTTTTATTGTTGCCTATTTTTAAAGCGTGTCCTAAAATTATGAAAGTATCTTGATGTAGGGTCTTGTGATAAAATCCACCTATTAGTGTTTCCTCTAGGGGTAGCAAGCAGCATGAATTTGCACCTTCCTTTGACTTTGCTAATAACCATTGTGTTTTCAGGCTATGCCTACCCTAATAGAGTTAATGAAAGACCCCAGTGTCGTCGTTCGAGATACCACTGCGTGGACTGTGGGTAGGATTTGTGAACTGCTCCCCGAAGCTGCCATCAATGATGTCTACTTGGCTCCCCTGATGCAGTGTCTGATTGAGGGCCTTAGTGCTGAACCCAGAGTGGCTTCAAATGTGTGCTGGGTAAGGATTTTCTTCATGATGAGACCTGGACCTTGGTTGAGTCGGCAGCAAGGAAGTCATAGGGGGTGCAGGAGAAAAATGGGTGTACCTTACTGGAAGGCTGTTTCTGACTAGCTTCTCTTAATAATTTATTCAATTAAAATGTGGGGGAGATGCCAACTGCAAGAACCAGTGGGAGGTTTTGACTCATGGTGACTCCTTCCTGCACCACTTTAAAACAGTCTAGCTAACCCAGTGAGAGAAATCTTTGGATTTAGTTTTGTTTCCTCAGTTGCTTGGGGATGAGATGTTTTGATTAAGGTAGACGATGCTGCCTGCAAAAAGTACCATTGCTGGGAAGGGGGCCCAGGTCTGAAGTATGGCTCAAATGCGGAGTCAGTATAGTCTGAGTAGTTCCTTTGGAACCTTTTGGGGGACGAAGGTACAATAAGGAAGGAGTGAAACTCAAAGACAAAGTTGAGGGAGGATTCACTCGCTGTGACTGAATCTTTAGAATAGTTGGAAAGGAACACTGTCTAAGATACTTTTTGAAAATAAGAACTAATCTTGGCGTGGAGTTCTTCTCCCGACTAGTGTGAAGTTTTTCTGGCTGGTTTTCAGGCTTTCTCCAGTCTGGCTGAAGCTGCTTATGAAGCTGCAGATGTAGCTGATGACCAGGAAGAACCGGCTACCTATTGTTTATCTTCCTCATTTGAACTCATCGTTCAGAAGCTTCTGGAGACCACAGATCGGTGGGTAACTGGTGCTCTGTGGAAATGGATGTGAATTTATGGCTAACTCCTGTTGCCTTCAGTGTGGGGGTATCTAGCCATTGAGAAAGGGGTTTTATATACTCTGACGGAATTAAAGGGATCCTATCGTAAGTTATTGGTTTAAAGCGAGATAGAAATAAAGAATTGTACAGTTAATAATGCAAGTCTGAAAAGGGTCTTATATCTTCACTACTTTCTAGAGTAGTAGACTTAAAGAGGCCCCTTCATTTTGTTGTGTTGACAGCCGTATGCAGTCCTGGTGAAAGAAAAATGGTAGTGCTCATGATGCGGTGGCTGCACGCCAGCTTAGTAGCCACTATTGTTGTGAGTAGGTGAGGAACTTTGAAGAGTTGGTCAGCAAGTGAGCTTTTGAAATTCAGGGTCTACAGGTGGGCGTGTTTGTGGACAGACCAAAGCCATGAGCACATGGTGCACTGGGATCTCCCGGGAGGCTTGTTTCAGGGTTGCATAAAGCCATCTCCCACGGGTCAGTGAAAAGTGAGGTTTCCTGAAGTCTTCAGGTAGTCCCTTATGTTTCCAACCAGGTTTTGTTTTTCCTCCCTGTAATTAGTTACCTTTCTGAAAGGGCTGTTCTGAGTTTTATTCGGGCCTGAAGACCCTAACCGTCAGTCACTGGTTCCTGGCTGACTCTAGGACAATTCTACACGTACCATACTGGTTTCTTGATCCTTAATTGTCCGTGAGACATTCTGTCCTTTGACCGCACTGGGGACGGTAAGTGTTTTGCTGTGCCTTCCTTCAGGCCGGATGGACACCAGAACAACCTGCGGAGTGCTGCCTATGAGTCTCTCATGGAAATTGTGAAAAACAGTGCCAAGGATTGTTACCCTGCAGTTCAGAAAACGACTCTGGTCATCATGGAGCGGCTGCAGCAAGTACTTCAGATGGAGGTGAGCCTGAGGGTACGAGGTAGTTCTCCCAGTGCATTGTTCCCCTTCAGTGCTGGCTTCTTTTTAAAATCCCCTTGCCAGCGAGTCAGTTTGATCCTGCAGTACCGAGTGGAGCTGTCCCTGGGGTATCCGAGAACGGACATGGGTAGGGAGGTAGAAAGCCTCGTTACACTGCAGCCCAATCAAGTAACTTACTCTATGCCCTCGGGGCTGTCTTATTGGTGTTTATTTACTTTCCTATATATCAATAAAAATGACTTAATAGTCCCAACAGACCTGGCAAAAAGAGACGTGTTGGTTTTTTTTAAAGAACCATTTCCATTTTACTTCTTTCAGGTTTGTTTGTCTTCGGCTTCTAGTCTTTACATAGGTTTTGGAGGAGGTTGTGGGGCAGCAAGCACCTGCAGGTCTACATTTGGGGGAGGTCGGTCCTTCCGGGCTTCACGTGGCCGGTCCCTAACCAAGGGCTGTCAGTGGCGCGACTCACAAGAGAAGGCAGCTACGTTCACAGCTTGGGAAGCGCGGATGCGTCAAAGACACTCACTTTCGAAATGGCTCCGCCGGCCCAGCCTCCGCTGCGCTTCTCACTAGAGCTTAGTCACGCCGTCCTTGGCTTTGGGCACGCAGTGGCACGACTGTTGCTAGGCTTTTTCTTTGTTATCTCGGATTGGGGGTGGTGGTGTTTTTTTAAGACCCTCTTGGAAGGCTTTCTGTGGAACAGTGATTTTCTCCTCTTCTCTTTCAGTCACACATTCAGAGCACATCTGATAGGATCCAGTTCAATGACCTTCAGTCTTTACTGTGCGCCACTCTGCAGGTATGATGGGACCTTTTCACTTGAGGGTCTCTGAGGAGGAGAGAATCTGGATCTCGGGGTGACAAGTTCATGTGTATCCAGCGCTTTAAATGGTTCTCATAGAGCTGTTCATTCTGTCGCTGACTTGGGAGGATCATTTCCCGGGGGTCCGGAAGAGACCAGTGTGTTTTTTGCACAGGAGAGGGGAAGAAACCTCTTGGTTTGTGGAGCTAGGTTTGTGCTGGCTGTTTGCAGTCTGATTTTCAGTAGATTGTCCAAGCCTAACCCAGTCAGATTTGATTCCCAACTGGGGCTCACTCTGCTAAAAAATAAAGCCTTGGGTTTCTACCATCTTTTGAAAGAGTATTTGCTGTTGGGAGTTTTTGTTGTAATTTACATAATTGATAGGCAGTCATTGTTGAGCAGGGTCTACTCCCCGGGTGCATACAGCTAATGGGCTTGGCTTCTAGCTAGAAGGTTGGTGGTGCAAGTCCACCCAGAGGCATCTTGGAGGAAATGGAGGGGCCTGATCAGCAGAGAGACTGAAACCCCAACGTGTTTCTTCCCCTTCACGAAGGGGCTGGGTCCCTGTTCTCGCTCAGGCCCCGGAACTTGTTCTCTGAAGCTTACCTAGGGATTTGTTGACCCTGATGGGGCTATCCTACCCTGTGAACTGCCTTATCTACTTTTCACAGCAGTGGATTTGGAGGGCTTTGGGGGGTATATTTTTTTAAAGCATAAATGTTCGGAGATGTTTCTCATGACACAGAGGAATGATTAACATCATTGAGACAATGGTCAAGGTGAGGAGCGGGGGTGGGGATGTGTATGGAATTGGGAGACGTGGAGCTTCAGCTACCACGACTGGCTCTTGACCATCTTTCAATGGATTGAGAAACAACTTAGCTTTTTGATGGTTTTAGAAGTAACCGGTTGGGGTGACATGGCTCTCTTTAGACCAGCCAGCCATTCAGCTGTCATTCCCCAGGAGGGGCGGGCGCGTGGCTGCTGCTGACTGGTTTGCCTGACACCAGGGAGACGCTCAGCTGCCCTTTGTTCATTTGGGGAAACGGAAGTCCGAGTCCATCAAATGTTGTGATGCAGATGGTTCGCGTTCTCGGAGCTCTTGTGAAAAATCAAGCGCCTGGATGAGAATAATGCCAGGTTCTGATTGGAAGGTTTGGAACAGACAAATCCTGATCTTCCTCGTTTCACAGAATGTTCTCCGGAAAGTGCAGCATCAAGATGCTTTGCAGATTTCTGATGTGGTCATGGCCTCCTTGTTAAGGATGTTCCAGAGCACCGCTGGGTCTGGGAGAGTACAGGAGGATGCCCTGATGGCAGTTAGCACACTGGTGGAAGGTCAGTGAACTGCAGTCATGAAGGAATGTCTAAAGGAGTTTTGACTACCCAAAGCATAATCTTTTCTTGGGGCATGAGTCCGTTCAACATTGGATTGAACTTAGGTTTAAATTTGTATACCTGCCTTGTCATTTGTGACCTGAGGCAGACTGGCCTTGTGTGTCAGGGAAAACTTACCAGGCTCTCATTGGGATGTGGTGTCTATCAAGGTGGGAAAAAGCAAAGGGTTTGTTAGGTTTTGTTTTTTCCCTCGACTCGTCCCAGTTAAGGTGTCATCCTTAGGTTGACATATCAGGTGGCTGGTGTGGACTGGAATGAAAATTGAAAAACTTCAAGGAAAGTGATCATTTTCTGAGTATTGCATGTCTGGCCATGTGAAATTGCTCTGGGGAAGGTGTATCTGACTTAGTGTTCTTTGAAAGCCCATTAAACAGCACGTAATGAAACCTGTAAGGTGTATTACTAAGGCCATTTCCTGAGAACTAAATCCATATCTGACATAAAGAGCATATGTTCAGCTGGTGTGGTAACATGTGACCGCCCTGAGAGGGCGATGAAGTTAATTCCAGCTCCCAGAATAGCTGGCTTGGATATGAAGTCCAGTGTTGCTTTTCCTGGCTGTGACTTGGTAAGCCTTTGATGGGATTGCCTGGGGACCCTATTTTCAAGCTGGCTTCCAGAGAGGACATGTTATAATCTGAGGGATGGACAAGAGGCAGTACTGCTGGCTCAGGCAATTCAAAATTAACCTTGACATTCCTCGAGTGCCATACCACTTTGTTGTTTTAGCCAGAGCAAGATCCTGTTCTGGAAAGAGCTAGCCTTCTGAATCTCGAGGGTGTAAGAGGCCCTTCTTCCAGCAGTTCCAAATTTGATTTAATCCGTCTTAGACGGCCTTAATGTCTTCACGATGAAATTAATAAATAATCCCCCTTCTGTCCGCCTGTTGAGTGGAGTGAATACATTTGGGGAGTGTTAGGGTATCTGTGATACAGGTGGTGCTATCGAGAGCTTAATAACTTTGCTTTGTTGCAGTGCTGGGTGGTGAATTCCTAAAGTACATGGAAGCCTTTAAGCCCTTCCTGGGCATTGGATTGAAAAATTATGCTGAGTACCAGGTAAGATAGGTTCTTTGAAATAATACAGTCTCATTCTACCTGATAGCCATTGTCATATGGGCAAAATCCAGTTCCTGGAGCCTAGGGAGCTTCCCAAGTATTAGCCGCCTCCTTTGTGCCCTGGGTGTCTGATCAGGAGTAATAGGGAAAACAGGGGATTGGGTGCCGCAGATAAGGGCGCACAAGATAGTGGCTTGCTTAGGTAGGAGTGGTGTCAAGTTGTGCATCAAGCACCAGGCAGAGCAAGGCGCTCTGTGTTTTTTTGGGGTTTTGAATTTTTCTGAAAGTACCAGCCTCTACTGTTCTTGGTGAATATTGATTCTCCAGGCTGTGATACCATGAATAGTTCCACTTCTCTTCCTGCCACGTTGGATGTTTTCTTTGACTCTCGCTGTAAGGTTAGAACAGGCCCACATGCTGTAGGTGACCAGTTCTGTTTGGAAGATGAGTTAGTTCCTTGCTTTTCCGCAGGTTTGTTTGGCATCGGTGGGCATAGTGGGCGACTTGTGCCGGGCCCTGCAGTCTAACATCCTACCTTTCTGTGATGAAGTGATGCAGCTGCTCCTGGAGAATTTGGGGGTGAGTGTGTCTGCACGTTGTGAACCAGCTCTCAAGCTTGCCCTTGGAAAGATGGGTGACTATTAGGTTCATGGCAGGGAACTAGAAGGTCCCAGAACATTGACTTGAGAGCATTATGGGGACGAGAATTCGTAACTTCTTTCACAAGAGGATTCTAAAGGAAGCTGACTGTGCAGTAATACAGGAAAGCACAGAGGGAAAAGTAACTCAGGCCAGTGCTGCTCTCCAGAGTTGTCCCCAGTTTTGCAACTTCCTGTGTGCCATCAGATAAATCATTGAAACCTCAAAGGCTGTACACTCTCCTGGCCCTCCCTCGGAACTAGAAGCGTAGGGTGGGAATAGCCATGCTTGTGCTGGCATTTTCTTAAAACTTGGTAAGTTTCTTGTGTCTTTGGATGACCCAGACACATTTTCACTTGTTTTTTTCTTCCCCTTGTCAGAATGAGAATGTCCACAGGTCTGTGAAGCCACAGATCCTGTCGGTGTTTGGTGATATTGCCCTTGCTATTGGTGGAGAGTTTAAGAAATACCTTGAGGTTGTATTGAACACTCTTCAGCAGGCCTCCCAAGCCCAGGTGGACAAGGTATGCTTTAACTTAATCCTGCTGATCCACTAATTTAACCCTAATTGGAGGAGAGAGAAGGGGGACTTTCAGCCAGCTTATAACCACATGTGATTAGTGGGTTTTGTTTTGTTTCCTTTGTCTCTTACAGTCAGACTATGACATGGTGGATTATCTGAATGAGCTAAGGGAAGGCTGCTTGGAAGCCTATACTGGAATCGTCCAGGGATTGAAAGGAGATCAGGAGAACGTACACCGTTGAGTATCCAACCCAGTTCACTCAGTCCACTGGCCAGTGTGTACCTAGCCAGATGCGCTGTGTTTTTCATTCTCTAGCTCACTTGTAAAGGAAGGTGGAGCCAACACCCACCCTAATGATGGAGAAGGGGATGTGTATGGGAGTATAGAGTTGCTGTCCCCCTCTTCTCTGTCCCATGTCACTTGTGCACTGCAAAGCACGCAACCCAGCCAAGGCCGTTGGGAAAAGCAATGGCAGAGATGCTAGTTGCTTCTGCAACCAACCACAGGTGGTGATGGTTGGGCCCCCAGTGGAGCTGGACTGGCAGGTTAAGGATCAGAAGTCCATTTTCTCTTACTGGTGTTTTAATCTGAGGAAGAATGTTTTGGCATCCATGTGTGCTGCGGGCTGTCCAGCATGACTCTGACAGGGACAGGAGTGCCACGTGTGGGACAACTGCATCAGACTTTCTCTTTCTTTTATAGCCGATGTGATGCTGGTCCAGCCCAGAGTAGAGTTTATTCTGTCTTTCATTGACCACATTGCCGGCGATGAGGATCATACGGATGGAGTGGTGGCTTGTTCTGCTGGTCTGATAGGGTAGGTTGTGGCTCACTTTCAAGAGCTGAGGAGAGCTCCTGGTGGCATTTTGAGAGGAGCCTGGATGACAACAACCCACCTCTAGCACCAGGGTTCCTCTAAGATTGGTGTGGCGCTGTAGATGGGCTTATTCGCGGAATGATGTGATGCACCACAGCCCTTAGCATTACCCTCCAGGTCACCATAATTTCCACTAGCCTCTTGAGGAAATAAGTTTTCAGAGGTTTACAAACTATATCCACCCCATAATCTGATTTTGGTCAAAGAATTGCCTCTATTTAGTTGCCTCTATTTAGGGTTTCTGAGGCATCATTCAAAGAAAACAGTGGTTTGGGGCTCAGAGATCGGAATTTTAGCTCTGATTTTATCAGGAAATAGGTGTGGCACCTTGGTAGGCCTTTGTAGACTTCATTTTCATTCTAGCTCTTAAGATTAAGCAGCCCGTACCCACTTAGCAATGACTTGGAAGGCTCTAAACTTGATAAGAATATGGAGCCAGAAGCTCATCCTCTTGTTTGCCTTGCTCAGGGATTTATGTACAGCGTTTGGGAAGGATGTACTGAAATTAATAGAAGCTAGGCCCATGATCCATGAACTGTTAACTGAAGGACGGAGATCGAAGACTAACAAAGCAAAAACCCTTGCTACATGGGCAACAAAAGAACTGAGGAAACTGAAGAACCAAGCTTGGTAAGAGCTCCTCTTTACTGCCCTCTTCCACCTTTCTTGTGGGAGAGGTTTGTTTCCTCCATGCTATTCTGTCAGGGGGCTGGCTTTTGATGGTTGATGTTGGGTCCTCTTCCCCGATAGGTGATTCTGAGCCAAAACTGTATTCTTCAGCCTTCCACTTATGGAAGGGTCAAACATCCTCTTACCTGAGCCAGATGTTGATTCTTCATGATGCTGAAGAACACTTTAGCTAGATTCACTTGAGGTCCAAGATTCTCAGTTTGTTTTGAACCCGAATAAACTCATGGATAATGACATTCTTCCCAGTTCTTTTATACTCTTCATTCTCCCTCCCTTTCTCTTCCGCATAGCTCTTCCTTTGTTGCAGTGTGTTCCGTTTATTGTGTAGCTGAAGAAGTAGACAGCTTTCTGACCCCTGCTTTGGAGTGTGGACTTTTCCCCTTTTACCTATTCGATAGTTTTACATCATAGATCTCGGGCAAAGTGGCTAGTTTGAAGTTTATCTGTTTCCTGCCTTCTGGCTGACATAAGTGCTGATGAGAACAGATAGGTGGCACAGGAGAGAAAAGCCATCTATCCTTGAATAATTGCTAGTGAGATTCCAGTCACCACCCCCCCACCCCCATATTAGGGCAGTGTAAAGCTGCCCCTGTGGGTTTCTACTCCTCACAGAAGTAAAAAGCCTCTTTCTCCCTCGGAGTGACTGGTTAACAGCCCAGCTCATAACCACTCTGCCAACAGGCCCAGGAGCATGCCCGACTGTAGGCAGAATCTGAGGGTATTTGGCTCTGCTGGGTACTTAGTGTGATCTCACGAGTTGACTTTTTTCCATCTGTTTTTAGATCTGTTACCATTGGGATGATAACCTGAGACCCCCACTGGAAATCTCCAATCTTTTGAAAAACCCGGAAGTGAGGAGTGTGCACGGATGCTGAATGTTTGGGAATGAGAGGATGAGTGAGTGAGGCTTGAAAACACCACATTGAACATCCTGCCGCCGCCGCAGCAGCCGCCGCAGCCACAACAGCAGCGCTGTTAGTGAGCTCAGTAAGCACTGACTTCGTAGAAAACCCTAACATCGGCCATCTTGGAAAAGAGGAAAAATGATGGATTTACTTTTTTTTTTTTTTTTAAGGAAAAAAAAAAAGGAAGAAAGCTATGTCTTCCCAGGAGACGCTAGAACTAGCTTTCCTGTCTTTTGGCCGGTGCTGAGTGGAATGTCTGGTTTGGGAGAGGAGGGACTAGGTTCAGCAGTGGTGCGTGGTTGTAAAAGGCAGCCTGGCCTTTGCTACTGATGAGAAAGATGGAGCCTGGGTCTCCAGCCCGCCTTCAGTGTACCTTTGCCACATGGTACTGTGCACATGCTGGCCAGAAGGAGGGTGAGGGCGTCTTTTCAGTCTGAGAATGAGTGTGTGTGAGTGAGGCGGTATCCACATTCTCAACTTCAAGTCATTGCAGTTTCTCCCCCCCACCC